CCCCAAAACCCCAAAACCCCATCAAGAATTTATATTGATAATTTAGCATTTTTGTAATTAATTTTTGTTGCAATTCAGAAAAATTATAAATTTAATTGTACATAAAAAAATTGATTAAAAAATGGTAGAATTCGCGCAATAAATTAAGCAAGCAAACATACATGTAAAGTCTCGTCGGTTCAGGGTCATCCAGATCACATTGTTCACATGTTTAATCTTAATTATTGTAAGTAGATAGTCAATTAAATTCTAATTAATCAACAATTTTAGCTACTCGGCACAGCGTTTGCAGTCTTATCTATAATGTTTATGAACAACAAAATATTTGAAGGTCCAGAGATGAAGAGATATGGATCTGTAGTATAAGGATATATCATTACTTTAGGATTCATTTCGACGATAATCAGTCTTTTGGGATTTTCATCAATTGTTTATCAGAATTATTGCTTCAAATGGATTGTAAGTATCATCTTCTATAATCTTTGTTATTCCATCATTAGGACCAAAATTGAAACAAGAATTTTTAATGATTAATATTGTATAGCATGGGTATTTTACTGCATTTCTTTCAATGATATTTCTATTGACTTCATTTTTCTTGATATTCTCATCCTGTAATTTAAATTTCAATAAACAACAATTTTTAGTATATGGTTGATAGATATTAAAAAATACTTGTAATGGAGACAATCATTTAAGAGATCCTTTCTATACATAATATGTAGTAAAACTATAAGAATCAGTAGATAATTACTTACTTCGCTCTTATTAAATAATGTGTTCTTCTACTTGTCCTTGTGAAATTTCTTAAAATCTCGAAAACTGGTCAGAGGATTAGTTAAATAAATATGGAAGGACTAAAAATTATAAAGCTTAAATGGATCAGCTGGTATTTAAGAAGGGAAACGGTTCTCATTCAGTTTAGGAATGCATGAAAAAGCTAGATGTAAATGGATCTCAAATAAGTATTAGTGATAAATATTTAACTGATCTCATAACTTATCTTGAAAGTGAAAATGGCTGTAGTGGTATTTGCAATCAAGGATTATTCTTTTACTAAAATGATATCAACAATGGACCACCAAGCAGATCATGTTTAAACGAATTTTAGTAGGTTGTATATGAGTCTTTCGATCTAATGGGTGGGATATTACTAGCTCTGTTTGTTCTTAAAACCATTTCGTTTTTTCTGTAGCAATGCTTAATGAAATAAACATTGGTGAGCACCGGCCAAAATAATTAAATCATGACATCCTCTTCCCCACCTATTTTTCGAATACCGCCGTCAGAATAAATTAAAAATAATGAAAGTGGGAAGATTTAAGATGATAGTGAAATAACTTTTAGTCCAGAATAAGACGTTAATGGATCAAGAGAACAATAGCATTTACTAGATAATAAAAATCTCAATAACTAAATCTATAATTCCCCGAGCCACCCATTGAATTAAATTCTTCCAAATGATGTTTAAAAATTTGAAGTTTAAGAGTAATTCAATGATAATGAAGAGAAAAAAGAGGAAGTAAAAAGATAGTATAGTTCTAACAAAACCTTTGCCAATAGCTTAAAGATTAGGGATTCTGGATTTCTTCCACTAATGAATAATAAAAAGAAGATCATCCAATTTGATAATTTTAAACTTTTTGATCGGGCTTTAGAGGATTATGAGAGTTCTAAATCAAATTAGAAGGAAGAAATAAATAGCAATAATGACTATAAAATTGAATTAAATCTAGTAAAACCTGATAATATATCTTTGTAAAATTCATTTAATAGTAGAGGAGGAAGAATATATTAAGCTGATGATTAATTTCCTCCATTGCAAGTTAAGCTAGTTTAAAATCTATCTGATGGTTAAAATGAAAATGAATGGTGAATAGATTTATGAGAATATTCCTCAAAATTATGTTAAACTCCGATTATTTGGATTAAAATTCTTTTGCTTTTAAGAATTTAACTTTAGCAAGATAATTTAAGATTATTTATTAAATTTAGCTTTTGATTCACAATTTCATTAAATCTTCAACTAGTTTGGACTTAGGGGTTTTGGGGTTTTGGGGTTTTGGGG